CGCTGGCGCACCGTCCCAGCTCTTATGGCTGGGATCTGTACCTGATAGCGTTCCGGCCACTCCGTGGCTGCTCGGAACGCAGCTTCTGCTGCGCCGTGTCCCAAAATGGCTTCCGCGCTCAAGACCGTCCACCGCGATGATCTTGGTAGCCATTCCCCGCCGTAGTGGTGCAAGACACCCACCTGAAAGGCAAGAAGCAACCCAACACCAAAAAAAAACAGGAACAAATGTTATCATCCCCACATAATTATACCCGAGATATATTTTCAGAGGGGTAAAAGGATATATTTCACTTGTCTACCTTTGTTGGGGGTCACAAAAAGAACCCAGCCGCAAACACAAACCACAAAACATTCCCAAAAACGCCTAGGCACAGCGGAGGAAGGCAATTGAAAAAAACCAAGACTCGCAACAAAGTGGAACGGCTGAGGAAGAACAAAAGCCAGGGCCACCTGAAACAGGGTTGGAGATACAACCAAACACCCAAACGCTACTTAAACCAGCTTTAAAACTTTGGTCTCAAAATCGTTCCCGTAAACTGACTAACTTAAAAACCGTTGTGTCCCATCTAACCTCCAGACGATGGAGTTCCTCCGGAGTGAAAAACTGCAGAAGGCAATTCATGCGAAACACCACGCGCGCCGCCACGTCACGAAGGATGCGCATCATTGCGAGATACAGAGAGGAAGCCAAAAAAAAAACGAGAGACCGATTCAGCCAAAAGCTGCGGTGTGATTCATGTCGTGTCATGTGAACCCACTGGATCGGACCAAACCCGGGAAACTGGAGGAAACACAACAAAACCCTATTCCACCGTACAAATCCCTTTGAAACCGTGGTTTTCAGAGGGTACCCGAACCATTACAAGGGTAACAAGTTCAAAGAAGATACAAACGTCAACCATCTGAGACACAGAAAATCCCAAGTCATTAAATCATACACCCCCTTTCAAATGATTCAAACTGGGTGATCATGTCCAATGTTGTTGGTAACCTTACTAAAAAAAAACAAAACCCATTCTGAACCCTCGTGTCATGTGAACCCACTGGATCGGACCAAACCCGGGAAACTGGAGGAAACAGAACAAAACCCTGTTCAACAGTCAAAACCCATTGAAAAATTTCTTTTCAGAGGATACCCGAACCGTTACAAGGATAACAAGTCTTAAGAAAATTCAAACGTCAACCATTTGAAACACAGGAAATCCCAAGTCACTAAATCATTCACCCCCTTTCAAATGATTCTTACTGGGTGATCATGTCCAATGTTGTTGGTAACCTTATTTTAAAAACAAAACCCATTCTGAACCCTCGTGTCATGTGAACCCACTGGATCGGACCAAACTTGGGAAACTGGAGGAAACAGAACAAAACCCTGTTCAACAGTCAAAACCCATTGAAAAATTTCTTTTCAGAGGATACCCGAACCGTTACAAGGATAACAAGTCTTAAGAAAATTCAAACGTCAACCATTTGAAACACAGGAAATCCCAAGTCACTAAATCATTCACCCCCTTTCAAATGATTCTTGATGGGTGGTCATGTCCAACGTTGTTGGTGGTCCCATAAACAATCAAAACCACTTTTGTAGGTTTGTTTGTTTGTTTGTTTGTTTGTTTGTTGGTTGGTCGGTCGGTCGGTCGGTTGGTTGGTTTGTTTGTTTGTTTGTTTGTGTGTTTGTTTGTGTGTTGGTTTGTGTGTTTGTTTGTGTGTTTGTTTGTGTGTTTGTTTGTGTGTTTGTTTGTGTGTTTGTTTGTGTGTTTGTTTGTGTCTGTGTGTCAACGTGCGAAAGCTCGACAGCCCTGATGGTGTTTACCGTGGTTATCCATCGACCACCCTAAAGACAGCAAGCTGACATAGGCGCGCGAAGGCCCGAAAGCCCCGATTGTGTTTACCGTGATTTGTTTGTTTGATGGTTTGTTCGTTTGTTCGTTCACTCATTCGTTGATTCGTTCGTTCGTTTGTTTGTTCGTTCGTTTGTTTGTTTGTGCGATTGTTTGTGTGTTTGTTTGTGTGATTGTTTGTGCGATAGTTTGTGTGATTGTTTGTGTGTTTGTTTGTGTGTTTGTTTGTGTGTTTGTTTGTTGGTGTTGTTGTTGTTGTTGTTGTTGTCGTTGTTGTTGTTGTTGTTGTTGTTGTTGTTGTTGTCGTTGTCGTTGTTGTTGTTGTTGTTGTCGTTTTCGTTGTCGTTGTCGTTCTTGTTGTTGTTGTTGTTGTTGTTCTTGTTCTTGTTGTTGTTGTTGTTGTTGTTGTTGTTGTTGTTGTTGTTGTTGTTTGTCGTCTGTCGTTTGTTGTTTGTCGTTTGTCGTTTGTCGTTTCTGTTTTTTTTTTCGATTTGGCGTACTGCCCAAAAAGAAAACCGGACTTCCCATGCACATGGCAAACAAAGCATCAAAGAGGTACAAAGCATCACTGTACTCCTGCAGCAATGCATGCCTCTGTTAGTGTCGGCCTTCAAGCTTTCCACCTGCAGCCGTGGATGCCGAAACGGAACCAAAAAAAAAAGAATCAATGAATCAAGGCCTTTGAAGAAGCAAGTGGCATGAACAAGACATTTGAGACAATCCATGAACAGAATGAACACTCCCGAAAAAAAAAACGCATTCGCTATGTCTTTATTTCCCGGAGATTGCAAGATCCTTCGCCTTCTTGGCTTTAAAACTGGCGGGGGGTCCGCATCCTCTGTTTCGATTTCCCACAAGCGAACAACCATTGGAGAACCTTCCTCTGCGGCATCACGCCTGCGAATGTCACTGCCCTCGTCGGAACTGGTCATCGCATCGCTCCACCGAAACATCATTGCAATACAATCGACTTACTCTTTCAGCATCCCACAAGGTTGAGAAAAAAGTGAATGAAAAAAGCATCATCCAATTGCTACCGTGTTTTTCCCCAAAGACCAAAGAGTCATTGACTTGGAACATGCTAAAAAGTAGACGCAGCCAAAATTGAGCAATGAAATAGCTGCACAACAGTCAGCTAGCATTTTCTACACGAAAAAAGACAGCATATCCTACATATTGCAACAATCATCTGGAACCCCAAAGAAAATAAACCTAGCAACTATAGGATGATTACCAAGACGACTTGCGTAATGATAGACAAAGCCAGTTCTGTTCAGTCTACGCCTCCGGCCTATGCTACACTGATGCCGCCGTGCCCGCTCCTCCAAAAGAGGCAGCACTGCGCAATTTTTTTCTTTCAGTCTCCAAACAGACAAGGTACACGCAGGCAAGAAACGGCATGACATTCTGGGTTAATCCAACGCCCTATATCTGCCGTCGACAGACAGGCATTTGGCTGTACGCCCACGATTACTAGGACTGTCTTCCTATACCGGGGCTTCACCTGTACACTGTGCAGAGCCCCGGGCATGAAGATGCAACCTGCTGGCACATGGAAGCAACAATCGTATTTTGAATCACCTAAGTGACATGATACAATGCAACAGAATGGCAACAACATAAATTCTAGCTCTTTGTTCACGAGCTGATGCAACATCATAGCAAGACCTGCAAACGTTCTGTACAGAGCGTTTCTCCGCGCTCGGGAAAATTTCAAGTGTCCATACTAGCAACCTCCCACCGCACAAAACGCTATCGGGGAAAACCATTGGGTTCCAAGGTCTCAGCCCTGCGCATAGGGAATAATGCTTCGAAAACTCATCCTGAGAGAGATTTCAAAGCCGAGATATGTACAGTCCAGCGCGAAAACTTCGGTCAGCAAGACATCACCTTCACGGACATCTCGAAAAGCCGACGCTTGCCGCGCCACGAAATAGTTTCCATGCTCCTGCACCATCGCAAGGGCCTCATTGAAGCTGGCATCTGGAAACGCCTGTGCGATATCTTCCCGCTGAAGAAGTTGCCCGGGACCATGATACCAAACTTCCCGGCGCCTGTCGTATCGGACGATGACCCGACGTTCAGCCAACCGCCTTCCGAACAGTGCCGGGAGCTGGTAACCTCCAATGCGTGCTGGCGTTTCAGAACGACGCAATGGTTCTATGATGACGCGCCAAAGTGCCGACCCTTGGGACCTGAAGGTCAGGGATGGGAAAGGTGGATTCATTCGGCCAGGAAAAAGTCGCAGAATTTCCCGCATGCGTAGGAGCACAGAAGGATGCAAGGCCGACGCGCGCGTTGCCCGCAAAGCCAAGCAAGGCAGCCATCCAAGGTACTCTTCAATGATCACGTAGACAACATGAATATCCAGCAATGTTGGCATGGCTCACGCGCCCGAATCAGTGGGAGGTCCCCAATCCGTGTTCAACGATTCAAACAGCAAACTCCTGAAAGCCAGATATGTCATGTCAACGGGTCAATTACACAAGGAGTAAAAGTTTAACATCTTTTAATGCGTGCGCTTTTTGCACCTGTCCGATTCTTTGGCTATATGCTTCAGCAATAAACTCAGAATGATTGTTTTTCTCCCTCTCCCTCTTTCCGGACTCTCTATTTCGCTTTCTCTTGCTCTCTCTCACTCTCTTTGTCTCTCTCTCTCCTACTTTCTTTCCTCCTCTTTGCCCATCTTACATTGTCTTTGCTAGCAGGTGCTTGTAGCGCCCTGAAACAAAGTTGGCACACGATCACTGTAGAATCTCGTTTTCACATGCAAAATGCAGATCGCTAGCAGGAATGACTCCATGACTTGAAGGCTTAAAAATTAAAGATTTTCATATGAAATTATAGAAACGTCTGAAGCAACCCACATCTTTCAGAGGGTCTCGCAGTTAAGTATGACCTAATAATAATAATGTACCCAATGGATGTTTACCGCCATCATCTGCACACAAAGGACAACGACGTTGCCAACTTACCTCAAGCAGCAAGCACTTGCACAGCACAATGGCTCTTTTCCTGCCGTGTGCTGTTCCGAGGCCATCTGTCCAAGCGCGCCTAGTGTGCAAATGCGCATGGGCCTCAGTGAGCGCCTGCTGCCAGAAGGGTTGCAAAAGTCACAAAGCCCATGCGCACAGCGTTTCTTGCTACTGGACCATTCTTATTCTGGTGAGCTCTCCTCCCGGTAAATTGTTTCTTTCGTGTAAGACACTTCAAGCTCGAAGCCAGCCAGCACCATTCTGCAGGTCGTCCTTTTGGTGCGAACGATGTGTCTTGCAATCACCCGGTCGTGCCAAATTTCTATGAAAAACTCCACCTGCGCTGCGCGCTCTTGGAAAAGCGGAACTGGAAAGCCAACGGCTTCCAGCCGTTCCCAGTCTTCGGAGAAAACTCTTGCAGCAGGTGGCATCTCACGCCAATTTCCGCGAAGGTGACGCACGTTGACCTCCCGCCCCAAGAGGCGCCGAGCCCGCGACATGCGAAGCTCTTGCAGCAGCACTATCTCTGCGAAGCCCTCAAAAAACCAAAGCTGACGCAGCAAGCCACCTGGACTTCGAATAAAAGAAGCTGGCACGTGCTCTCGCTGACAGGCAGCCAACAAAATGATAATCAGAAACGCTCGCAAGCTCTGGTTGCACTGCAGACGAAGCCCGAGGGGCCATCCAAGATATTCTACGACAAGCGACAAAGGCGCATGAGGCAGTTGGTCCAAAGTGTTCATCGCGGGCAAGGATATATCCAATGATAATTCAACCGCCAAAGGTCAAGATAATCCCAAACTCATATGCGTCCCAAACAGATGGTAGATACAGAACGTGTTTGCTGTTCACTTGTCCCCGCCTGATAAGGAAAAACGTCACAGCAACAGCCGTCAATGCGGAAGCAGAAAACCTTTCCAGAACGAAAAGATTGAATTGATCATTCAGCACAATCCACGACGAATGCATCACACCAACAAAATTCATCCTAGCTAAGTTAACATCAATGCATTGAAAGATTGCATATCCTCCACACCTGTGAAAATCACAAGCTTGCACCAAACAGCGATACACATGCATCTTCAACAAAAACCAACCCATCATAAAGGAAAAAGAACGCATTTTTATTGCCCACATCGCATTGCTTCTCACCTGCCTGCTACAGGAGGCAACCCTGTACACGCGGTCGCCGCACCCACTGTCCCATAAATAGCATCAGAGCGGGCCTGCCGCCGACTGTTCGAGAAAAGGCATCAGAGCCCGCCTATGGTCTAGTAGCCTTCAAGATTGCTCCATAAGGTCTTCTATCACCCTAAGAAGAGCAAAAACAGCACAAGCAAAAGCCCAAAAATAGAAACAAGCTGCTGAAACAAAGCCAGAAACAAAGTCCACTCACTAAGCCGTGAAAAAACAAAGTTGGCAGCTAAGACTTGAGCAGCTAAATACAGAAAGCAGCGGCACAAAAGAAGAACGCCCAATATCATTGAATTTTGATTTCAGAACCAGAACGCGACAAAGCTAGCAAGCTGATAACCCGTTGCTAGGACTACATACTCACTTTGACAGCTAACCCTTCCAATACGGTTGAATTTGTCCAAAGTTCAAACAAGCAAAGTTTACAATTTACCAGGTTTACAATTACCAAAGCCCGCTGTTGCCATTTCTTTGCAAGATCGTTCTCCCAGTCACATGCAAAGTTTCCTCAAAAGTAGCCACTATGGCTCGCAGCAGACAGCGTTGTGGACTGCGCATTGCTCGACTGCAACATTTTGCGGATCAGACGCTTGTATACAGGAAACCTCCACCAAGAACCGCCTCGAACGCAGCACTTGCACATCATCACAGCAAAGGTGAATCTAGTTGTACTGAACATTTGTATCCAAAGCAAATAAAGCAAGGAGCTTCTACAAGTCTACATGAGCTCCTGCTTTATGACATGCTAAGAATCTTGACCCAATGCAGCCCCAACCTAAGCCAAGAAAACCCTATCAAGGTGCACTGTCTGTAAACCTGCCCTTCAACATGCCTCCAAAATGGTCGCCAGACCGAGCACGGTGTCTAAAAATGCAACCCTTGTGGCCCCATGTAACCCCACCGTAAACCCAGAACACCCTATCAAGAAACACTGTCAGCAAAACTGCCCGACAACATACCTCCAAAATGGACACCAAACCGGGCGCGGTGTCTAGAAATGCTACCCTCTTGGCACATGACAGCCCGTCCATGTGGCCAAATGTAACCCCAACGTAGGCCAAGAACACCCTATCATGCCGCATTGTCTGCAAAATTGCCCGCCAACATACCTCCAAAATGGCCTCAAAACCGGGCGCGGTGTCTAGAAATGCAACCCTTTTAGCCCAATGTAACCCCAACGTAAGCCAAGAACACCCTATCAAGGCACATTGTTTGCAAAATTGCCCGCCAACATACCTTTTAAATGGCCTCAAAACCGGGCGCGGTGTCTAGAAACGCAACCCTTTTAGCCCAATGTAACCCCACCGTAAGCCAAGAACACCCTATCAGGGCGCATTGTTTGCAAAATTGCCAGCCAACATACTTCCAAAATGGCCTCCAAACCGGGCGCGGTGTCTAGAAATGCAACCCTTTAGCCCAATTTAAACCCCAACGTAAGCCAAGAACACCTTATCAGGGCGCACTGTCTGCAAACCTGCCCTTCAACATCCTTCCAAAATGGCCACCAGACCGAGCGCTGTCCCTAGAAATGCGACCCTTTTAGCCCAATGTAACCCCAGCGTAAGACAAGAACACCTTATCAGGGCACATTGTTTGTAAAATTGCCCGCCAACATACCTCCAAAATGGCTTCAAAGCCGGGCGTGGTGTCTTGAAATGCAACCCTTTTAGCACAATGTAACCCCAACATAAGCCAAGAACACCCTATCAGGGCGCACTGTCTGCAAAATTGCTTTCCACATACCTCCAAAATGGCCTCAAAACCGGGCGCGGTGTCTAGAAATGCAACCCTTTTAGCCCAATGCAACCCCACCGTAAGCCAAGAACACCCTATCAGGGCGCATTGTTTGCAAAATTGCCCGCCAACATACCTCCAAAATCACCTCAAAACCGGGCGCGGTGTCTAGAAATGCAACCCCTTTAGCCCAATGCAACCCCAACGTAAGCCAGGAACACCCTATCAGGGCGCATCGTTTGCAAAATTGCCAGCCAACATATTTCCAAAATGACCTCAAAACCGGGCGCGGTGTCTAGAAATGCAACCCTTTTAGCCCAATGCAACCCCACCGTAAGCCAAGAACACCCTATCAGGGCGCATCGTTTGCAAATTTGCCCGCCAACATACCTCCAAAATGGCATCAAAACCGGGCGCGGTGTCTAGAAATGCTACCCTCTTGGCCCAATGCAACCCAACGTAAGCCAAAAAGACCCTATCAGGGCACACTGTCTGCAAACCTGCCCTTCAACATGCCTTCCAAAATGGCCACCAGACCGAGCACGGTGTCTAGAAATGCAACCCTCTTGGCACATGACGGCCCGTCCACGTGGCCAAATGTAACCCCAACATAAGCCAAAAACACCCTTTCACAGCGCACTGTCTGCAAAACCGCCCTGCTTCTAGAGATCCATGTCCTTCGAACTAGTCTTCACTTCGGTCTCCACAGACTCTTCCCTTACAAACATTTGACCAAAAAAACAAAGCATTGCTCCTAGAGATCCATGTCCTTCGAACCAAGACAGACCTCCAAATTTACCACTGGAGCAAGCGCGGCGTTTTCGAACTGCAACCGTCTTGGCCCACCTCAGCCCGCCCCTCAAGCCAAGAACACCTGAACAAGGCGCAGTATCTACGAATTTTCCTTCAGAGCCAGTGCCAACCCACCCGTCCTTCCTTCACTTTGCTCCTGAAACCTTTTGGGCCAGAGCAGCTCATCCTTCAAATCCCAACGGCTCTCCCGATCTTTGGCGTGACGCCGGGACGATCAGCCCCCCTCACCATTGCACTTGCATGTGAAAAGGATGCTGCCACAGTGTCCAACGCTGCGGCCCCCTATGTTAACCCGGACCCTCCCCGGGAAGTGCCTTCAAGCAGCGACGAAGTGCCACAACCGGACATAAGCGTCCAAGTCTTGCAGCCAACCAGCGTTGCCCGTGGCGAGGTGCTGCAAACAGCTCCCACAGACCCAGGTGGCTTCCTGTCGGAAAAGGATTTGTTTTGTAATCGTTTTTTTGATCTATTCCCTTCCAAATCTCAAGTTCACAAAATCGTGTGTTTTACAAGCCAAATGCAATGAAACCATGATGGTGCAGAAACTTGTCCTTCAGCCGGTAGGGCACCATAATACGCTGCACGTAAACATTGCGAAGCAGCTCGGCACTCCTACAGCAGCAGCAAACTCCTTGTCGCGGCCGAAGGTCGCAAACATTCCAAGCCGGCGGCGAGCAGCGCCACAAACCTTTCTGACTTGCAACCGGGACCACCGCTGGTGGCTCGACGAAGACAACCGAAAGAGCCGCAGGCCTCCAGAGGCAGGCGTGACATAGAGTTCCATGACGCATTGCAAATCATGAAGGAAAAGCAGATATCCAATTAGATAAAAGAGTGTCAGGATTATGTACGCATATATACATAGATAAAAATATACAATCATATATTTACATGCATGCATGCATGCATGCATGCATACATACATACATACATACATACATCCAGACATACATAGATACATACATACATACATCCATACATACATAGATGCAAATAGATCCCCAGCAAGCCGGTCGGCGGTAGTTTCCAGTTGTAAGTAAGAAACATACTGCTATAGGATTCCAAAAAAATGTTTTTCCTATAGGAGCTATGAAAGGCTTCCATCATCGTTCCGAAACTTCTGAATTCTTGTTTCAGATTTTGTGACCATTCTTCCGCGTTCCTGTCATCTGTTTCTTCTCATTTCAAGTCTTGTCCACTGGTGTTGAACGAATTAGCATCACTCGCACCTGTGCAAATTTCTCAACCCAGTCGAAGTGACTCAGTTGCAAACTTTCTTCTTCAAATGAATTGCTTATTTTTTCTTTCGGTTATCATCTTCGTGTCATGTCCAAGCATTGAAGGTATTAAAGGAGTACTTAAAGATTCAACCTTCAAGCAGGCGATTGCAGCTGCTCTTTTTGCGAACCTGCATCGAACAAATCTGCTGCCAAAGCACCACAACTCGGAGTTTCTTCTATGAAAATTCCTTTGACAAATATACATACATGCATGCATACATGCATATACATATATAGATATAAAAACCTAAAATACATGTACACATATATGGAAATACTATATATATATATATATCTCTCTCTCTGGCCATACGTGATTAATCCGAAAAAAACAGATAAACCACAGGTCTCCCAAGCCAAAAGCCCCGTCAGATGCCTCTGCTGCCTTCGAAGAAGGCTTGGCCCTGGGGCCTGGTTCTGATTAGGAAACGCTGATGGAACCTGGTCGGGGTCTTCTCGTCGCACTACCACAGGACCAGCGGCTACCAGCTCCTGGCACCCAGTTTTGGCATAAATTTACCCAAAGGAAAGAACCTGCATTCTGTACAGCTTGTCTCTGAAAGGCACAAAATTCGATCAAAAGAAAGAACAAAGCAGTGCAGCATGCAATGTCTAAGAAAGAACAGCAATACATCCGCCCAATCTAAAACCGATCGACCCACAAAACCCATCGAAAAGCCAGCCGGCTGATGAATTTCGTGTTGGCAATATTCAGATCATGGTTCAACAAAAGCCAGACTGCCACGCTAAAACTTCCGCTTGCTCAAAGCATATTCATGTCCGTCTGACTGGTATGTTTCATGTCGGATACTCTAAGATTACTCACATCACTGAACCCGGAAAAGCTACAGAGCCACAAAAAAAAAGATTTACAGAATGGGTCTGGAGTCTACTGTTCATCATCTTTGGACACAAACAGTTTACGCTTATAAAATCAGAAGATGTACGCTGACCAATGCTCAACAGGTCCCTCCCAAGAAATAAGAAATGTAGCGCGCTGCCTGTTGAGGGCGCTTCCTAGAAGCCCGCCGCGCCGGTGCTGGAGGCGGCGCCGGCGCCGGTGCTTCCTCAGGGCTGTGAAAGAGCAACCGAGCGTAGTAAACATGAAGCCAAACACCTACAAAGTGGTACCCCATAGTTGGCTAAGTTTGTTTTTAACTCCAATAACTATGGTTGATGATTGATATATCTATACTTATGTGGTTTACCAGTAGTACCGCCCCCGATGAAGTTGCCCACGTGCCCGTATAACTGGATTTCTTGACGTTATTTTATAATGATTTTAGATCAAATACGCCACCATTTTTTTGCAAACCAGCCCAAATATAATATATTACATAGATATTTACTGCATTTTTTTTTTAATCGGGTATCAAAAAAAACTATATCATGTGGTATAGCAAAAATAACTGCATGTGCCAAGAGACAAGCTCGGGAGGAGGCTGACGAAGAAACAACTCTCCTACTGGAAGCCTTGGGCAAGGCAAGGACCGCGGAACGCACCAGCGGTTCCGCGTGCGCCCATCCACTCCAAATGCCTTGTAATGGCATTCAAGACAGAGGTTCCAGTACTTCAAGGCGCCGTGAAGACGCCACTTGAAGCCTTCTTCCTCCTGACACAGACGACTGAAGCGAGGAACAAAGCTGCAAGACCAATAAAAATGCAAATTGGCATCATGGTTTTGTTAGTTAACAAATTAGCATACCACTATGAAAAGATGGTTTCCCATCCGATCCTTCCAGGCATTTCCGAGCTCTTGGGACCGCAGCGAAGTCAACCATCTTCCGCAGAAGCACTTTGGCCCCCCGCTTCCCACCATGATGTCAGAAATGAACCCGCAAGAATATCCTAGCGAATCGGTTTTCACAAAGTTTAATATGAGAGGTTAAACCGACATGAGAACTGGTACAAAATAGCTTCTGGAACGTTGCCAAACGGTAATGAACGAGATAACTAAAACCCTTGTCTAAAGCACGTGAAAAATCTATGAAGTCCGTGTTGCCTGTCATACGGATTGAACCGAGACTTGCAGCTCGGCAATGAATGGATTCTGGACTGTTGCAGAAATTTCCGAAAATTGTTTTTTTTCGGCTAACCTCAAATAACATGGTAACCTTTCTTCTAACCTCAATATTGCCTTCACCTCAAAATTCTGCTAACCTTTTCAGAAGCCTAATCCAGGGTCTATACATTCACCTGCTGTTGTTTCAAGGTGCCCATACTTCAAAAAGATTCTACCACCCATTTAACTTCACTGAAAACAAAGCTGGCTACCTCGCATTCTTTTTTTAACCCTGCTGCGCTGCAGCATCCAAGGATTCTCTGCGCACCTGAGACATGCGACCAAATCGGGTAAAAGGCATCTAACAATGCATCTAACGACAAAGACAGAAAAAGATTTGCAGGACCACCGAAACTCACTTCTTTCCAGTTGACCTACAAAGAAAGAGGAACAGCAAAAGTGAACCTTCTTCGTCGCTGAAGCTGCACCTGACCTGCAAACAATTCACTGATAACTGATATGCATCTGAAAAAAACCTTCGCAACAAGAGGTACAAGTAAGCAAAGCACTTTGCCATTACAGAGTCTGCAGCGCTAGAGACTGAGAACGTGACGCGACGACCGAAGCGTTTGAAAAACGTCAAAATCCTTACAAGACATGAATCATTCACGACCACAGACAAAGCACAAAAAGACAACAGCTATACAGCAAAGACCTGAGAAAAAACAATGATCACAAAAGAAACTGAGCAAACGACTGGTCACAGGACTTATGCCCTTAACTTTGAAGGCTGCCTCTCAAAGATCGCAAGACTTTTTTTGCTCAGTAATATATTTCAAAAAAATATCTATATATTTAGAATTGCATATACATAGATTTACATATATATTTATATATTATTTATACACTTAGATGAATAGATAAACAGATATTTTTTTATATAGAAAGATACATAAACAGGCAACTAGATAGGTAGCTAAATAGATAGATAACTCAATACATAGATGGCTAGAGAGACAGATAAATAGATAAATGAAAATAGATTGATTTTTTTGCATACCTTGATGAATCCACGAGGTTGATTGGTTCATTGATCTATGAAGAATTGAAGACATTTGAGCAGCCTGCGAAAAAGGAAACACATCAGCACCGGCCTCCGGCCAATTGGACCTGCACCGTACAGCACCAAAATGCTTAAGAAAAAAGGCTACAAGAACAAGCCGGCGTCTGTGGGCACACCTGCTGCAAAAACTCGGCCCGATGCTCCGGCAAGTCCAAGACCTCAGTACCGAACAACAGAACACACAAAGAGCAACAGACACCAAAAAAAAGAAACAGACAAACACAAGAACACGTGCACTGCTGCAGGAAGGCAAACGCACTCAGGACAGCACATTCCGGTACCTCATCTTGTTGGCCCACGCAACATCTTCCGCCGTAACCCGAAAGTCCTTGGCAACAACTACCAAAAAAAACGGAAAAAAAAGAACAAGTCACAGTCAGAACAACGAAACGCACTGCACCAACCACCAGCAAACAAAATAATGCAAACGAGATACAAAGTGGCCTAGGAGGTCATCAACACCGACTGGGCCTGAAAGAGACTCACAGGCCCAGTCGGTGTACCTCGCAGCCTTCCGCCACTGATTCGACGGAACGTGCCAAGTCTGGTCACCGTGTTGATCGACCCACCAGTCCTGCAAGTGAAAAAGAAACACGCGCCAAGCTGGAAACAACACGCGCACACACAACGCAAACATGCAAATGACTGACAAAAGCAAACGCGCACCTCGGCGAGGTTCCACAGATGAACCCCCGGGCGCAGGACAGCTAGAACTCGGCGATCACCTCCACAGCGACTAAAAAGCACAGAAGCCAGAGACGAAGAAGAAAGAAACGAAGAAAACCCGCCTGCTTTGGCCTGCGCAGTCGCGAACCAGAAGGCCACCGCCACACTCCTCGACCACGAAAGCCAGGGCGAATCCTAAACAGAACCAAGAAGAAAAGAAAGCAAAAGCAAACACACACAAAAAAAAAAACGAGCAACACAACAAACAAGTCACAGCCTAAGAAGAAAACCCGAGGGTTCAACGCCACGTGCTCCCAGACGAAGGTGGAGCGCTCGCCCTTGGGGTTCAAGCAGAACTCCAAGCGAGCCGCACCACGGAACAAAGGACCTGCAGATCGACAGCGCAAAATGCACCGGACATGAACACAACAGAAAACAGTAAGACACACTCTAAAGATCTTGCAAAGCCTCCAGGATACAATCGTCCAGAAGCACGTCCACCAGCGGGATACGTGGCAGCCTATATATATATATGTATATATATATACATACGTATATATATAATATATACATACGTATATATATATATATAATATATACATACGTATATATATATATATACGTATATATATATACGTATATATCAAACAATATCAAACATATATGCACAATTATGATCAATTGTGCAAGAAACATATACTAATTACGATTCATACATATATATATATAATTATATATATATAGTATGCAGATTGTATGCACATTCCCATTCTTGTTGACAAAAGACCCATAGACCTTCCAAAATCCACCCGGCGAATCACAACGGGCACATGATCTTCTCAATCTCCTTATGAGTCAAATAATCCACCTGTGGCAGGGGGAGAACATCGAAATTTTCGACCTTGAAAGACTCCTCCGCATCTCTTTTCGAGGGTTACTATTATGAAGCATATTAATGAGATCATTGATGATACATGATGATACCATATGAATAATTGGATCATTCTATTATATATAATTATTATATCGGCATCATTACGTAATAATATGTAATAATAGACCAAATGCCCATTCAGTATTTGATGTCATCTACCTATGGACTATGGCCATCTATGGACCTATTGGTTGTTCAATGGGGGTTTACTCCTTCATTGATCAACCGACCACAGCCGTGACAAGATTTACTGCTGGAGAATCCAAGGTAATCCCATCCCCCGTTCTTCGTTCGTGGGAACCGCATCGTTGGGACCATGGAGTGGTGCCACGGCCGCCAATCACGGCAGTCCTTTTCAATGTTCATCCCAGTCATCTCACTTAGTTGCTTTGATCAAAGACCCTGGTTGACGATGCTGCAATAAAATCAACCACCACGGACCACAACCATTTATCGTCAGCATGACCAGAAATCTGGGGGACTTTCCAAGGCTGGGATGCAGGTCCCGGGGGTAATATTGACAAAGATGTTTTTCATCTGATTGTCATATGGGAAGCTCGTGGAAGTTCCAACCGGCTTCACATTTTTTGTTGGGAATATGATGGAATATGGATACCCCATGATACCCCCCAGTTCCGAACTGCTCCCTCCATTCACCACCAGCCTCCCACTCCTCGATCGGAAGAGGTGCAGGGCCGCTGTGACTAAAACACTCGGGGAAAGCCTTTCGCGCCTGGCAGCTTAGTGGAGATGTTCATTGGGATTTTCATCCTCCCAAACTTGCGGAAACCTGTCATAAAACTGCTAGACCATCAAGGAACAAGGCAATTGTTAGACTACTGTACGTGAGTGCTCACATTGTCGTTGAAACAGGGAAGTCCAGAATACTTTGAGCATCAAGGTTTGCTTACTCGATCGCTGTTAGTTAGATGTTTTTTGGCATCAAAAACATCTTGCGAAAATAAGACAAACTATGACAAACTGAAGCTAGGGATCTTGCACACAAGTTTGACATTTCAACAGCCTTCCTGAAAAATCCCACGAACCCACCAAGTGTAGTCAAATCAATTCTCAAATTAATTGTTGCAGACTGACATCATGCTCTTGGACTCTTGGTTCAATTCTCAGTTCCCTCTCAGTCTGGAAGACTGTGAGGAACTTCAACCGATACATGGCTCAAACATATGCGGATTATAGGTGGCCTTCAACCGTTCATCCGCATCGTATCGCCATTCGTACCTGCGCGATCACAAAGCAAAGTTCTTGGTGATATTCAAACAGATCAACATAGATTATATAAATACTTGGATATCCTGATGTTGCACACCAAAATATGAAGGTTTTCCATGGGTTTCTCATGGTTTCCCGGATTATCCTTTTCTGGCTGAACAGTAGCAATGCTATGCAATTGCAATAATCATAGTAAGTCACCAACCTGAAATGATTTGTGATTTTGGGGTATGGTAGTTCCTGATGTAAAAAACAATGATCAAGGTGAGTGCAGTCACTGATGTTTTGCTTCAACCGTCAAGTATATGCCTACGGCAGGAAAACCGTACGTGCGTTTTGCTTCTTTTTTGCGTATTGCTCTTTTTTTCTTGGGGTTGGGGTGGGGTGGGGTGGGGGGGCATGTTAACGTTCCTTGTACTTCGTGCATTATATATTGCCATGTTGCTAAGATCTCTGGGATCGTGTGCTACGTTACATGTTGCTACGCTGCTGAGATCTCTAGTGTGGGTTGGGGTTGGGGTGGGGTGGGGTGGGGGGGCATGTTAACGTTCCTTGTACTTCGTGCATTATATATTGCCATACTACGTGACATGATGGTACGCTGCTGAGATCTCTGGGATCTTTTACTACGTTACATGTTGCTACGCTGCTGAGATCCTTGGGACTTTCGTACTACGTGACATGTTGGTACGCTGCTGAGATCTCTGGGATCTTTTACTACGTTACATGATGTTTAACTGGATTTGTCAAAAATCAATAGATTTTGCATCCACTTTTTTGACCAAAATTCAGTTATCCAAAGAGTTCGGAAGAGCATTTTATACTGTAAATTGCAGGTGATGGTGACTCTCCTGGAAGCAAACAATCAAAACGCTCGCGCGGTTTCCCTTCCGCCGGGAAGTATATCATATCCGAGCATATCACCATAAAATCTAATCCCCATATTCAACACCCCATAAGTATCCATAAGTAACATACCACCAGTCTCAAATATATTGTTCTGAAATATATATTCAATATATATATATAATTTCCACAATCGGTTCCATGATCCCCGAATCAGATCCTTTCCCAAGTTTGGTTGGAATATGCCAGTTGATTCCATATTCCTATCCCTCCGGTAAGTAAACATCACTATGGAAAAATGACCCATCTATAATTGATCTATAGTTGATTTACCCATAAACAAATTGTGATTTTCGAGCTATGTTCGTTTACCAGAGGGTATCACTCCTATTGGTTTAATGATTCATCTAGAAGCTGAGCCCCCCTGGCTAAGTTGACTTGATTAACTAGGCTTTAAAGTTTATTGTGATATAACATGAAATAACTATAGATTAGAGTATGAATATGTATGAATGGGGTTTATTAACCGACTTGTAACCGAGGGGCCTCACCTTCTAGACCTAGACTTTCTATCATCGAACCTATCCATTTTGGGCTCGGGTTTTCAAGCGGCGCACTGCTTGGCCCATTCATCGAAGCTCAGTTCTCGCTGCCCATCCGCCGCGCGTTGCTGGCAGTCGCCCAAGTAGCGTTCGTATCCTAAGTGCACGGTGTGAAGGCAACTTGGCCTGGAGTCGTCTCCAATGTGGGAATTGGCTTCTTAAAATGATCATCTGGGGGTTATTTTTCCATGGTTTCTTCCAGTTCTTCCAGTGGTTTTCCCAGCATGAGACCTCCAAATTTCCAGTATTTTCCCAACATTTCCTGCTCGAATGAGTTTTGCAAATGCTCCGCTTCATCCAAGTCTGGCAGAGTGGTTTCAGGAATGATAGGGGCGAATCAATGGGGATTTCATGCACAAAAATGCTTGTGTTCGTCTGCTTTCGTCTGTTTTCACCAGCAAATATTGGGATTTCACAACCAAAAACTAGGCTTATTCTGCAACCATGAAGATTGCATGCTATCTCTCTCTCTCTCTATACACAATTGTACATACGTACATTATTGCCAAGGAAACAAGGAGCAGCTTCAGCTAAAACAAAACGATGATTTGTCACAAACAAACATGGGGGACATTGTCGAAGCGAACTGGAGAGATGAAAGCCATCAGCAAGGCTCTCTCGTCTTGCTGCCCAATGCGCTCGTCTTCGTCCATCTCCTGCCACAATGCAGCTGTTTTTCAGCTGCCAGGAGGAAAGACATGACAAAAAAACAGATCTTTTCGAAATTTAACCAACATTTCCAATCATTTACCCATCTTTTGGGAGCCAACAGTCGCTGCTATTGGGAACAAATAGGTACATCAAACCACACAAAGCGCCCCTGGCATCCTTCAGCATGGTGCCAATCTTTTCTTCTTTTTCCGCCTCCTTTTGCATGCGTTTGAACCTCAGCCAGAGCTCATGTTCTTATGTCAGCAAGTCCCATGGATTCCCACCAGGGGTTATACATAGATAACTGGATATAACTGGGTCACAAATCTACCCTCTGGTAATTTAACGTAGCTATGGAAGGAAAATCACCATGATTAATGGGAAAATCCACTATTTCTATGGTCATTTTCAATAGCTATGTTAAATTACCAGAGGGTAACTGGCTTTATCACCATTTGGATAGTCCGAAAAACACCCTGCAATTCTTCCCAGACCTTCCCCACATGAACCATCGAATTTCAATTGATCTGGCTAATAAAAAAACCCAACACCCACCTGAAAAGTTTGTCATAAAATCTCACACCATGGGATGCCCCCAACCCATTCTTGGGATCTTGGGTTCCTCCAATCCATTGGCCGCGTCCCAGGGGCTGTCGTTGGACGTCCTCTTTGGGCATCATCTTCATCAGCTGACTGATGGCTTCCTGGCATTGGCGATCCAAACATCGCTATTTTTGGAGATCCGAATGGGATAGAAATGGATTTTACCAAAAAAAAAGATGTTGTAGGAAAATTTGTTGGAGATTTGATGAGATTTTACCATCTCAAATTGGCTTTGTCCCAAAATTATTCCAAAAATGATGCTCTCGGACTTGTTTTGAAAGGAGAACCTACAGGAAAAGCCCGATATGGGGGGGAAGACATTGCTGTAGATGTTCCCGGAAATCACTCTAATGACTGGCATGTCCTTATGGAGTTACGTCCAGTCACAAATATATAATTTGGTGAGAAACAGGGTTCTCTTAATTATCTTATCAACAATTTCCAGTCATTTTGAGGTTTATAAACTGGTATTTCATGGTTTGCAATTCTGGACTACATCTCAATATGCCAAAAGATACTACTGCATTCCAGTCTAATATACTATATAGCAATCATCAGGGGTTGTAATATGTTGTAATACGCTGACCATTTCCCCCAATGATGAAACCCTCCCGTGGAAATCCTGGCTTAGTATTAGATCTACGTATTCATGTTGGGGGTTCATATGCAGAACTTGAAAATTAGGGGATGGGACTATAACATACCATTAATGTCATCCCCCAAAAAAGATACAACAGTATATAAATACGCATGAATATTGTGAAGATTCACTGTTCTATCCTTTTGGGGGTTCCTACAACTATATAACCCTACTAAAACATACAATCGAACCATCTATAACCTCCCCTTCTGCCATCTTCATCCACTTTTGCCCAGGCTCCTTACTGTCGAAGTGGGATGCTTTCAGCAAGGCCCAGAAATCCGCTTTTGATCCCTTCCAGGGCGAGACATTTCTCCGGGGCAAAGCTGGAAAAATGGTCGGTCATTAAGCCATTCGGGCGATTTAAAAAGTGCTGGAGAAGTTTTGATAAATGTTAATTCAATTGTTCCTAGACCAATCACGCTTTTCTTGTGAAACATCACTGGTTATTTTTGAACCATTATACTAAATTATATTTACGTTTTACATCGTTCTACTATTTACAGATGGTTACAGTATGGGTGTGAAATAGTTTTAGGAATTTTTTTTTGAGCAGGTTTGGGATTTTTTTTTGGATTTCTTGGCTGGTACCATTTGCCTAGTGTTTGCAACGGTTTGGAACTTGAATTTGTCATTTTGCATGGTATTTGCCACATTTGGGCATGTTCACCTTCCATTTTGCATGGGATTTACTACATGTGGGCATGTTCACCTTCCATTTTGTATGGTATTTGCCACATTTTGGCATGTTCACCTTCCATTTTGCATGGGATTTCCTACATGTGGGCATGTTCACCTTCCATTTTGTATGGAATTGCCACATTTTGGCATGTTCACCTTCCATTTTGCATGGGATGTTCTACATGTGAGCATGTTCACCCAAATATTTACAGACGCGGAAGCTTGGGATTAGATAAAAAGCGGGTGGGGGGGATTGAGGGAGGGCGCTAGCTATCTATCCAGCTAGCTAGCTATCTAGCTAGCTATCTATCTAGCAAGCTAGCTATCTATCTAGCAAGCTATCTATCTATCTAGCTATCTATCTACCTATCTAGCTATCTTGCTAGCTATCTATCTACCTATCTAGCTATCTAGCTAACTATCTAGCTATCTAGCTATCTAGCTTTCTATCTATCTAGCTATCTATCTATCTAGCCATCCAGCTGTCTATCCAGCTATCTAGCTATCGAGCTATCTAGCTAACTATCTATCTATCTAGCTATCTAGCTTTCTATCTATCTAGCTATCTATCTATCTAGCCATCCAGCT